AGTCTAAACTCCCTTGGAACGTCTTTGTTGCTAACAAATAAAAGTCAAAGTAAATGACAAGAAGAGGAGATACAAAGTATGAGTACGGCTTGATTTTATTTAATACGTCATTGAATCCTAATTGAATATAAAATGATGAGATCAGATATATGACAACTGAGACGGAAAAATTGTTAATAATATTTCCTATAAATGGTGGAGGGGATATTGTACTCATTTCTGTTATCAAATATTTTGTGAGATTGTAAAGTTCATTCAAGTTTTTTTTAGTTCTTCCAATAAGAAAAGTAGTCGTTTTTTAATATCAAAAACTTGAAATAAATTTTAACGAATTTTTTTAATTAACATTAATTAATCAATTAGTTAATTTATTACTAAAAAATGGTAAATTAATTAATTATTTTTAATACTATTTTCAATTACAATTTATTTTTTTTATAGTTATAAAATAATTTAGTACAATACTTATAAAATGGCTCGTTAATAAAAGTGTTCAAACATTAACTCGTTAAATATTAATTAGAAGTTGGCATGGGAAGATGTCTTTGGGCCTTTCTTAACAATAAAGAAGACAACAACTCCAATGATAGCGGCGATGATAACAACAAAGACGATGACTGCAAATACAATTCCGAAAATAGCACCACCAGAAAGACCATTATTATTCTTTTCATTTGAACTACTTGAATCATCTGTCGCTTCATTCTCTAAAAAGTCGAAGGTGACTTTACCATATCCAGAGTTAGCAGCAGTCTCTCCTGAAACTAAGACATAGACTTTTTGTCCTGCTTTCATCTTAAGTAAGGTTGCAGTACCATGATTACCTTTGGGAGAAGTTGATGTGGTCTGTGAAGCTTTACAGTTCTGTCCAACAGAGTCTGATGTCACTATCTGGCACCCTTCGTAGAAGTCGATTCTTGATCTGAATTGAGTTACATCGTCTGTGTATACCAAAAGTGTCTTATCTTCTGGAGCAGTGACAGTGTACCATACACCAAGTAACCCATCATTAGTCTCTCCATTACATTTACTTCGTGACTTCATATTATTGGTGGTTTTAAAGAAATCGGTCGTTGGGAACTGTGAGATGTCTTTAGCTGTTGTGCACTTCTCATTTGGTGAAGTCGCATTCTTCACATCTATGGAGAAACGTCCCATACCCACACGAGCATAGTCTCTAACATAAACTAATACAAGTGTCTTTGCACCCGGATGTGCTATAGCCTTCACTTCATGTTTAACTCCATTACCACAGACAGCATCTTCATCATAATTAATACATCTAAATGGTCCATATAAGTCGCCTTGTGTCTCTATACCAAGAATGTTAGTAGTCTCATCACCACATGTGTCCATATCATACATCACGCCTTCTGTCATATCAAATATGTAGTATAAACCCGGGACATTCTTTCTATCAGATCTGCACATAGTGGACAACTTGCTATTTCCATAGAGTCTCACATCTGTGTATGGCATAGTGATTTTGATCGCAGTGTCTGGTGTACTTCCACTCTCTAGGTTGCCATACATACTATAGAACATAAAGATCCCAAATGTATTGCCAGTCCCAGTCATTCGAATGGATGATGCAAAAACACTTAATTGCTTAATATCTCCACCTAAAACAAAGGAAGAGACTCCATTGTAATCAGCACACAATTGTGATGTTGCATTACATGAACTTCTCAATTCAACAAATCCAACAAACTCTTGTGAGTTGTAAGGAATTACACCAGAAATGAATGGAGTCTTATTGCTATGTGCTTTGACTGTGTACCAAGAACCTTGTCTATCTTTAATTTCATCACAGCCACTCTCTGATACTATCATGTGAGAACCATCAACTATCTGTGTGTAAACATCTCCAGGTCGTCTCAACTCAATTTCCTTGGCAGTTTCACATTTATAATTCATTGTATCAATTGCTTCACTCATTTTAAAGGTCACTTCACACTCATCAGTATCTTCGGAGCATCCGGCTCTTATGAAATAAGTCTTCCCCTTCTCTAAAGTAGCTACTATATATCCATCATCTCCACAATTGTTGGTGGCAAAGTCAACACACTTATAACAATCTGTTTCAAACAATTCAACAAAAGTGTTGTATCCAGACGGAGCACCAATATAGTGACTATTGCATGTATTCAAAATGTACTTCTTTCCGGTTCCTACAAATGTAGCAAACATACCAGCACCTTTATCTCCGTGTGCACAATTTGATGGATATAAAGTGAAGTTTT